AGGTCTAAGAGCTCCGAAATGCCCCTCTGCCGCCCACCAGGGGTTTAGGGTTTAGGGTTTAGGGTTTTGGTTTAGGGTTTAGGGTTTAGGGTTTAGGGTTTAGGGTTTAGGGTTTAGGGTTTAGGGTTTAGTGCAGGGGCCTTAGTAAGTAGAACAGGGGGGGACTATGGTATAAATACACCCCAAACCTCTAGTCTAATTCGATTTTCCCGGAATCCTTTCGGAATAGTTTAGGGTTTACCTGTAGTCTCCATTGTAGTTCCTTTTTTTGGTTTAACCAAATATATATTAACGAGTTTATAAGGTATCCCCAAAAAGGAACTACAATGGAGACTATAGGTAGGGTTTAGGGTTTAAGGTTGCAGGATAACATCTCCTGGGTATCCAGTATAGAGACTCTGAAGCATGTGCAATAAAGCATCAACAACCGCTCCCCAGCATTGGCATAAGGCACGCTCTTCCCATGAATCAATCTTAGCACTTTCAAAAAGGAGATTCCAAAAACAAACGAAATGCCAAATAGTATGCCCTTTGTATAGAGCCTGAAATAGGGTTTTGGGATCCTCTATAATATTTTTTTATAGTAAGGAACCCTAATTGCAGTTTTTATTGGTATTTATTTAGGCTTCTCTGTTCGCTTCCCATGGCAAGGGGCGGAAGTCCGTGTGGTGCAGCTGCTCCAGCTTGGCAGCACACAGGGCGATAGCTGACCTTGGATTTAGGTCCGGATTGAGGATTCAGTGTTTAGAGTTTAGGGTTTTGGTTTAGGGTTTATGGTTTAGGGTTTAGGGTTTAGGGTTTGAGGGTTTGGGTTTAAGTCCGGATTGAGGGTTTAGACGGGTTTGGGGTATCGGGTTTACCAGAAACCACCCATAGTTCTCAAACCCGATAGGAACAATGTCAACCCTACTACTCCTCTAATTAAGAAGGAAAGCAAGAACTTGTTGTGCTTGCTGTTATGCCAGCCGAAGACCCATGGACCCTCTAACTATCCCAGACTCTCCTTTATCTCTATAACCTTAAAGCTCTAAATCACAAACTCCGCCGATCCCGACCACTATAGAACCGTACACCCGAAACTCTAAACTCACGGCATCGCTTCAGCCCCTGGCAATCGATGGCGAAAGGCTGATGGGATGTGGGGAGGCCTTAATAATTACCCATATTATTTTTTTTTGGGGGGGGGGGTCCTTATTAAAATTATAGTATAATATACCCCCAAACCCTTTTCTAATTATTAAGGCCCCTATATTAGAGCCGCAGAAGAAGGAGCGTTCATTTTCGCGATTGAATTGAGCCTGAACTCTGCAAGGAAGAGGTTTGAGTGGTTTGGCCGAAAGAAGGAACAAACAAGCGTTCATAGCTGGACGGGGCCTTGTCGCATGATACTGTCGCCTACGTGCCATTCCACGGTAAACTTTGAACCCTAAACCCAAACCCAAAACTCGATATAAACCATGGTACACCCCCTAAACCCTAAACCCTAAACCCTAAACCCTAACCCTCAAATCGTTGCTTCTATCGAGGGTCTCTGCTTCCTCCACGTGCTCTCCCTTGGGAATCAGAGCTCGGAGAACCTCCTCCAAGGCGTTGATGTCGTACTGGGTTGCCTCCACTTTTAGGGGTTTAGGGTTTAGGGGCTTAGGGTTTAGGGACTTCTTTGGAGTGAAACATTGTTGGGTTGCCTCCATTGCGCAGAAAATCGTCATGGGTTGCCTGTGGTCGTTGCTGTTGTCGTTGCTGCTCTGCTTTAGGGGTTTAGGGGTTGAGGGCTAAGGAGATAGGGCTTGGGAATTGATGCTTGGGGTTTTTAGCTTAGGGTGTGCTGCTTTGAGCTAGTATTTCTGAACAGGAGCGCAGGCCCATGACCTCTCCGGAAATTCGGGTTAAAGGAATGGACTCTTCAACTAATTCCGCTTTCGGATGCAGGGCTGAGGGACGCTGGCTAGCCTGCTTAGGGAAGGTGTTAAGGTGTATGCTCAGCACCCAGGGCGTGGAGGGCTGTGGAGTGGTTTAGAATTGCCTAATGAGGCACCACTCCAGCGCCGAATGAGCACACCCCACGCCTTCAGCAACGCCGATGAGCTCTCCTTGGCACAGCTCAGCTCTTTACACAGATGTATGGCTTTTGAGTTTAGGGTAAGGAAGTGTGTGCGCGGTTTAGCAAGTAGAAGCCAAAATACAGCGCAGACCACTTAAAGCACTGAAACCAGCAGGACCCCAGAGGACTGTAATTTTGGGGATGTAGCAATTTAGGGGGCCACATGCCCCCTAAACACACCTTAAACTGTTGTCGCATTCTTCAAACAAACTTACAGGCCTCGGTAGCCCAAGGTACAAATCCCCAAAGCCTAAACCCTAAATCCTAAACCCTAAACCCTAAACCCTAAACCCTAATCCCTAAAGCCTCAACCCCGATCCCCAAAGCCTCAACCCGAATCCCTAAAGCCTAGGTATAAAGCATAAAAACTTCTTAGGGGCTGAGTACCCTAGCCCAAAAAAGGTTAACCTTTTGAATTATAGTAGGATTCTAGAAGCCCCAAAAAGTTAAAAAGTTAAAGGTTACATACTCAGCCCCTAAGACTTATTGGAGCCCTCCCACTACGAAGATTAGATCCTTCTGCTTCTGCCTGCTTTTAAGAAGCAGGGGCTCCTGCAAAGGAACTCCTACTATAGGGTCCTCAGTTTAGGGTTTAGGATTAAAGGTTTAGGCTCTATTTAGGATGTCGGGTTTAGGGCTTCTTGTTGAGGGTTTAAGTTAAGTTTCAGGTATAGAACAGAACTGTGATCCTTACAGTAGGGTTTAAACCCTAAACCTCAAACCCTAAACCCTAAACCCTAAACCCTAAACCCTAAACCCTAAACCCTAAACCCTAAACCCTAGGATAACTGCCGGGATCCTGAACTTATCATCCCCCGACGCCCTATTCCACATACTAAGACCCTACCTATAGTCTCCATTGTAGTTCCTTTTTGGGGATACCTTATAAACTCGTTAATATATACTTGGTTAAACCAAAAAAAGGAACTACAATGGAGACTACAGGTAAAAACCCAAAACCCCCAAACCCCTAAACCCCTAAACCCTAAACCAATGAACCCTTAAGCCATAACCCTTAAGCCCTCAACCAATGTTAAGAGAGCAGCCTAGAGCCGGAGCCTAAATAATAACCTATACTCTTTTGGGGCTTCTGTATTGTAATTTTAGTAGAATCTGCCTAGAACCCTCGTCTAAACCCAAGTCTGGCAGTGGAGCGCGGAGCCACGCACTCCCTTTAGATGCAGGGGACTTCACAAGTAGACGAGGGCTTAGGGGTTTAGGGTTTGGACTCGGGTTGGATAGGGCTCCTTTAAAGGGTTCCTTAAAGGGGATACCATAAGGGCTACTATAAGGGTTTCGGGTTTAGGGGCCTGAATGATTAGAGTAGGGTTTTGGGGTATTTCTACTTTAGTTACAATAAGGAACCCCCCAAAAACACTATAGGTAATTATTTAGCCCCCTATTACTAGATGTAGCTAGGACTTCTGAGACCGCTCAAGGAAATTCCTTCCGGTACACGGCTAAACCTTCATAGAGCCCTTAATTACTTGGTTTAGGGCTTCTAGGGTTTAGGGTTTAGGGTATTAATAATTAATATAACCCCTCTAGAACCCTTCTATGACGTAGAGAACGCTTGTAGCACCCCTTCAAGGATCCCCCCCAGGCCAAGAAAGAAAACGCCGAGGATCGATCTGCTTCTTGTCCCAGGTCGTCCGGATTTCCTGCGCTGCCTCAGCGGATTCCCCACAACTTCAAGATGAGTCTTGGGTTTAGGGTTTAGGGTTTAGAGTTTAGGTGTTATAGGGATTTTTCGGCTTTTATAAGGGGGTTTTATTGAACAAAGGATTGGGCTCTGGGTTGGCAAGGTGGGCTGGAGGCTTAGGCTTGCGCAGTCAAGTAACGGGGGAGGATGAAAGCTCGCTGGAATTCGAGATTGGAAGCTTGGCGCACTCAGAAACCGAAGAAATGCGGCAGTTATTGTGGCCCGCCCGAAGGCCCCAAAACAGATCCGATCTAGAGGAGCTTAAACCCGAGTTCACCGCATCACTCGGCCGAAGCACGGTGTCCAACATGCCGTCGAGGGAACAATAGAGGTCCAGGCCTCAGCGAACGAAAAGGTTCAGGGTTTGCGGTTTAGGGTTTAGGGTTTAGGGTTTGGGGGTCTGGTTCCAGGCCGGGATCCTACAGAGTTCGGGCTTTACCAGAAGAGTCCTGGCCCATGAAGAATCTAGCATGTGTCACTGTGATACAAGACTATGCCGAATAACCCCCTGCATGGCTTTTTTATACTGCCCTAGACCCTAAACCCTACACTCTAATCCCACAACCTTACGGCAGCACTGACTTCTCGACTCCTTTTCTGGACCGGGTGGCGCTGGATGATGCCCTTTCGCGCCTCCTGCCCAGGTTCATGCTCTAGGGTCTGGGAGTTTAGGGCTTAGGGTTGTTGGGCTGGAGATTGCGCTTATACTCGGAATATAGCTGCACTTACCATTCAGGTAGAAGCCGTCCATGCACGAAAACAGTTCCAAAGCGGTCATAAGTAACCGTTAGGTTCATGGGAGGTAGAAAAACCTAAAGCACAGCACCCATGATTGCTGAGACCTAAACCCTAAACCCTTAAACCCTAAACCCCAAACCCTAAATCCTAATCCTTCCTTGGACATCCCTTCATGCACTCAAGAGCCTGACTTTCGGCTGCTCCGAAGAGCATTCGAAACTGCTAGCCTGGCAACGGATGAGGGCGGTGTACGCTTTAGGGCTGCAGGGCACTTTAGAGGGGTTTAGGGTATAGGGTTTAGGGTCTAGGGTCTAGCATCTTCGAGTTTAGTCTGGAAGGTCATCCGAAAACTGGCACTACAACTCACACGGTGTCCCGCTGTATTCTGCACGGCGTTGAACATTACCCTAGTCCTCCTGGACCCTTGTAGTGAGATCCCAAACTCTAGCCCCCACAGCCGAAACTTCCCCCAGAATGCCCAAGACGCTCTTAGGAGCCTTCAGGTAGGGGTTAGCGGTTAGGTCTTCAAAGTCTAGGTAGACGTAAAAGGTCAAGGAGACGTAACAGGCTTAAACACGCGCTCCCCATAAACGACAACCCTAAACCCTAATCCCTAAACCCTAATCCCTAAACCTAATCCCTAAAGCCTAAACCCTAATCCCTAAACCCTATAAGCCCTAAACCTTAGACATGGACTTCTCCTGCTGCTTCGTCGTGCAGGTCTCCAGATGCTTCCTCGTTGCCGGCGTTAGGCCCCTGGAGGGTTTAGGGTTTCTTGTTTTTGTTTAAGGGTTTAGGGTTTAATTCGGGTTTAGGGTTTAGGGTTTGGGGGCTGGCTGAGGGCTCGCCTGGACGCTAAGAAACCTTCGTTTTCGGATTCCTTATCATGATGACGTCTTTATATAAGTCCTGAAAGAAGCAGGTTATTTGGGGCTAAGGTAAGGCTCAATATTTAGACTTTTCGGTTTTGGGGGTTTCAACAAATCAGGATGTCTTCATGTTCGTGTGATTTTGGGGATGTGGGCTTTATTTCAAACCTCACTTATGAGTCAATTCGTGCTACACGCTCAACCCACCATTAGATAGGACCCTCAGCCCTCAATGCGAGGCTACAAACCCAAAAACCTTAACCTGATTCCGGAGACCCTGACGAGAGCATAAGTTCGTGAACCGGATTTAGAGGATCGCTGAGGCTTCTTTAGCCTTGCCGAGACTTCAAGGAACACAAAATAACGCTACCCTTCCATTTCAACCTGATTTCAGGGCCGCCGGTTTACCTGCGGCACAAAAGGCATTCTTTTGGGGAATTCCACATGGAAACCATAATAGCGAACCCTAGAGAGGTAGGTCCAGGATCTTTTTGGTTATAGCTAGGGTCCAGGGAATGGGGAATAGAATAGAATTCGTACGATATCGGTACTTAGACCCTGACTGTGTTGCCTGCTGAACCGAACAATCTTTGGTAGTGTCTCTTGCGACCTGATCCGGGAGGCCACGGCAATCTGCGACGTGATGCGCTGCCTCGTGAGGGCTTCGAGTTCAAGGCATACTCGCAGGATCCGGGTAGCACCAGGTGCCCAAGTATAGTCAATGCTGACCACACCTGGCCCCCAGCTAAATGCTACATGCTGAACTCTAAACGCTCTGCGACGCACGAAAAGAAGCGGAAGAAGAGGAGCAGCAACAGCTGCAGGCATGGGAGGTGGAGGTAGCGGAAAACAATGACGCGAGGTCAGGCGCTTCCCGATTCTCGATGGTTACAAGAAACGAAGATCACGCACATGATTTGGGCTGACTCCACATGTCTAGAAGGTGGTTGCAGAGCATTAAGCCTTGCCTTTCGTCAAGCCAAAAAGTCCAAAACCCCAAACCCTAAACCAAAACCCCCCCAAAACCCAATCAAATCCGAGCCCCAAAACAACGCGGTACCCAGATACAAAAAGACCTCGAATCACCCCCACGCCAAGAGGCAGCCGTGTAGAGATCTCTTTCTTTCCACCCTGCAGCTCCTGGCGAACTTGACAGCCCTAGAACCCTATCCCCAAGGCACGAAACATTAAGCAAGGGCCCTAAACCCTAGAATACCCACTGTAGAGTCGGTTTGGGGCAAACAGCATGCACGAGTTTGCCAATAGAATCTGAACACAAGAGACGAGGGAACACTCGCAAATCCTGCATTACACAGCGACCCTTGTCTTTGCAAATCTTGTACCACACCAGGCTCCCCGCAAGAATTAGGATGTCTTTTGTCCTTGAATACTGTAGTTTACCATACCCTAAACCCTGCCCGTAACGAGAGCCCTCGTGCAATCCAAGACCCAGAAGGGGCAAGCCCGATTATACTCTTGTCGGGATAGATAGAAGGTAAGGTCGACCGGAAGACAAGGAGACGACGAAACCAGAAAAATCACCAAAGGAAAAGCTAAAACTCCCTTAGCCCTGAGGCCAAGAAACTCAAGGGCAAATCCCCGGCCCTCCTAAGGACATACCACACCCCCAAACTACAGAACCCACTCACATCTAACAGCTTCGCATTCAAAGCATAAACAACCATGTAAAGTAATATCAACCGCACAGAACCCCCTTCAAGCCCAAGCATCAACTGTTCAAGCTCTGTGTCCTTTTCAAGCTGTACCCTAAACCCTAAACCC